GGTTTGGTCATTCTTTGCCTTTTTAAAAAACTCAATTAAACTTTTTTTCCCTTCACGTTCCCAGTGGAACAAAGGGCTCCAGGCTAGAGGCTTGAAGTTTCTGTAGCAGTGTTTATTTTTACAGGGTGGGGTTGCTAGCCTCATGCCCAACCTTTACGCTTTACCAGTTTCACTACTGGCTTAGCGAGGTAAAGGAGTACGTCGGCCAGGGATTGAACCCCAGACCATGCGCATAGTCAGCAAGCATCCTAACCGCTGTGTCACCAATTCAACTTTAGAGAACATTACTTGTCGACAGGAATAAAAATGACCAAACAGAACTAATTTGGCATGCATGTGGAAGACAGTGACTGATAAGCCCAAAAACGTATGAATGATTAAATAATGAAATAAAACAGAGTAACGATTTAGTGATAACCATATACTCAACTGCACATTAACTACCTATAAACTGAAACTAACCCACCATATAACAAAGTGAAATGTCATGGCACAACTTAATTTATTATAGTCTAGAAATTTTATTCGAAGCATAGAAATACTCCAGAAATGGAGATAACAAGAAACATCAACCACAGGTAGACATTAGTGATTCACTAGAGTTTTACAACTCACCACTAATAAGCAAAAATGATTACGTACGAAAAATGTCTACGAATAAGCTGCCTTACTTTAAGTGAAACTGTCCTTAAGCACTGGATACTATTAGGGATTCCACATAAATATTTCTTAACGTCATAGCAAAGAAACAATAAATCCAAACGATGCACTTATCACTAGAGAAATTAAGAATCATAAAATAGTATACACTAGAGATAAAATACACCACTACTGACGTCCAACACCTTAAAATCTTTATATTCCCTGTCTGATCGTATTTATTTGTCTGAGGTCCTCAAACACTGATGCCTTTACACTCACAAAATTGTTTAATTTACTTTATTTCATTTTTATGTAAGAACACTAGTTATGTTTGTTGCCTTTGTGTACTACTGCTACTAATTTTTGCAACTTTGGCAAATTTATTTCTGACATAACTATAAAACTTGGGCACTGTGGTAAAGTATAACTGCATTATGAATAAGATTTTATTCTGATAAGTCACACAGTGTTATACACTAATATTAACTGATGACGTTTCGAGCTCAAATCAAGCTACTCACACAACTTTTTACTTCATTTATATACATGAGTGGAATTGATTAGACATTTGAATAAAAATCAATATAGGATAATGCGTTTCTAGTATCGAAATTATTTGGTTACAGGATTTCATCATGAACTGTCATCGGTTAGAGAAACATTGGAAAACCTGAGATTGCTGGAAAGCTGTTTGTCCCAGTTTGGGACTTTTCATCAGTACGCGCCCACCACCAGGGTTCGAACCCAGGGCCTACTGGTTACAAGGCGAACTCGTAGATTATTCAGCCACTGGAACCCGGTCCAATGGCAGATGGATTCCAACTTCTTCCAATTCACGACATAGTTCCATCGGGCCATTGCATCGGTTCCCAGTGACTTAATGATCTACGAGCTCGCCTTGTAACCAGAGTGTCCTGGGTTCGAACCCCGTAGTGTGAGTGCGTACTAGTGAAGAGTTCCAGACTCGGACGAAACAGCTGTCCAATACTTTTAGGCTCTCTAACCAATGTCAGCTCATGATGAAATCCTGTAAACAATCAATCAAATCCCTACAAACCAATACTTGAATACCAAAATTATTTCTTGCACAAACCTATGCAAAATATTTATACGATGTATAGAAGAATCCCTCAAATTCAAAAAAGTGCAACAGACACGTGCTAATGAATTAAATAGTTCTTTCCAGCAGAATACGAAGGATGAAAAGTAACATCCGTCACTAAAAAACTTTCTACACAAGCATGTCCAAACATTCTAGACCATTGACGGTTATATAATACAAAGAAATCAGGAAATTCACCCCAACCCCCAAATTAGTAGCCTACAATAGTTCAATAAAATATCTAAAAACAATAGCCATAAAAGTACATTCATTGCACTTTAGTGATGCCTATGAGTAGTAGTGAGTGATAGACGTTTAAAGGACACAAAATTACTATCAAAAAAACTTGTCAGCTGTTTAGACTTAGACTAAAAGTAAACAGGTTACTAAGAAGGAAAGAATTTAGGTCCTAACCCAAAACTGATCGCTAGAATGCAGAAGGTCAAGAATAAAATGCCAATGTAAGAATACTAAAGACTTGCACTTTTAATACGATATCTTTTGGTTGAATATATTGAAGACCTCCAAGTAATTAGTTGCTCTCGGTTTAAGTGCTGGTAATTTGAAGTCCCCTGTTACATGTCTGAACATAGTAGAAATCATCATTCGATGGGGAAAGTCTTTTTCAAATAACAGATTATATCCCGTCAGGTGCTTGCTATTGCTAGACGTAGTTGAAACACGCTGGGGCTATTTTGTGGTGCTACAGAAAAGAGGGTTGCTATTTTGATCTAGCATGCATTGGTGTATTATAACTGCCTGAATGGAGTACGGTAGATAGCAGTACTTATTGGTTCAGAGTTCAAAACTAATGGTTGATATACTTAATCCAATATGACAGTGGAAAACTGCTACAAGACTAATGAATATATTTCATTTACGTGACTCTTTCTTATCTTTCTTACTTTTTTACCTCGTATTGTTTTTATATTTTCAGTAGTATATTTGTTCGCAACCAGGCGAATGGATTTGAAAAGAAAATGAAATTTTTTCTTTACGGTATTGCTTATCTCTGAAATAATGATATGAAACAAATATCTATGCTTGCATATTGTTGTATGCTGTTTAATTCAAAAATCTAGAGTACAGCCTATTGATTAGAATTCGGAACTAGTAGTAAAAAAAGTATGATTGAGAAATAGTAAATAATCACATGCACATATGACCCATAAATTTCAACATAAATTGTGTATATTACTTTCAAATTTAATACTAAAACCTGACCTATTACATACTGCACGTGATTACTCCCAGAAAACAGCTAGTTGAAAAAGTTCTTTACTGAACACAAAATTCACCAAGAAGAATAAGAGTGTATAGAATGGTGTGGTGAAAGAAGAGACAAATATTGTTAGGAACGCAGCACAATTCCTTACCATAATCGTATGGAAAACATGAAATAGCTTATTAGTCATTGATACTAATGGGAACCTTTTCAGTGAACACTGCATTTCAGTCATATATATATATATATATATATATATATATGGAACGACGCGACTTAGTTACTCTGCATTTTTCGAGCACTGGGTTGAGATATTTGATGTGTAAGTGCTTACGATGCAACCAGGTTCGACACACCAAGTAGATGAAGCAAGATTAATTGAAAACCAAATGTTCAAACAGATTTGACTACCACCAGCACCTCGCAGGGTTCCAGATATTTCAGGAAGATCATACAAATTTCAGACCAGAATTCTTAGTGAACGCGATCACGTAGCGTAATTTTTACTAGCTATTTTTAAGAAAAATAAAATGGAGCTAGGATTCTTGGCTAGAGATAAACTAATAAAATAACTGTTTCTTGTCCGTATTTTTACGTCAAGATGGAGCAAATATTTCCGCTTAGGCAGAAGTGAAATACACTTTAATTGACAGACTTCATTCCTAAATCAACGTATAAGCCGTGATATATTTTACACGGGCTTCCCAAATTAAAATCTTTACATCTGGATATTCTCTTAACGGAATTGTGAATAATTGCGATTATATAGTACTCCGTTCATTACGAAATTTAGTTGCACTGTTATCACCAAAATAACAGACTAGACATGATATAAGAATGTTGTTCGAATAACGTACCAAATACAAGAAAGTAGGTAACGATTTGTAAAGGTAACTGATAATATGTACGCATCAGATTACACTTGGGTCAATTAAGATAATCTTACGGTAGTGATAAAAGTTGTAGACTTGGAACATGACCCATCTACCCTAGGCTGAGGAACACGATAGTATAAGCATCGTTAGAAAGTACGATAGCTCAGTGAATTTTAGCAAGATAAGTGAGCTGACACAAAACTATGATAATGGCCTTGTTAGTGTATTTGATGTGAAGTGACTTGTCGAATTTAGGAGAGTTTTCGATACAGTAAACCAGCTAGTTAAAATGATCAAAGAGAGATAAAACCAAGATTTCGGTTACTCAAAGTGTGGAATTTTCAGTTTTTGTCGATGACGCATATCTAAATAAGCGGCATCCAGCATGAAAAATGAAAGTGCAGAAAATACTAAATTGGAAAAGTGGACGTATTGTTTCTTAGAATTCAAACGGTAGAATTTAACGAAAACTATGGACCTCACTAAAACCATGAATGAAATGAAAAATTCATAGTGTTAGCTATTTAACAGCGGTGATAAATAAGCTCCAGTGACTTTCAAGGTACTATAATTAAGATGTTATCTAGTACCACACTGAATGTGACTTCATTGAGGTCATTTCGGTAATTCCACCGTCATATTATAATTACACAAAACACGAATATCTTCAATACACTTTTAAACTAAGCCGCTATAGAACCTAAAAAGGCAAGCTATTGGTAAGTGCATAAGTTATCATACTAACTAAAAAATATTTGAGAAATTGGCAGAAAGTCGACCTACTTCTCACTGTTTACGGAATTTCACTAACCATAGGTAAAAGTACACTTTCTAATCCATAAATCAGATTTCCAAATTTCTGAATCATTTTTGTCAGCTTCCATTAAGCCTCATACACAGTTCAATAATTTAAGGTCTTTTGAATTATATATAGATTCTCTGATGGAAAACGTAATAACGTTCAGACCTCATATAGGCTGTTCGGTAATTATACCTTACTGAGATAAGAAATCCTACACATACTTACACGATACAAAACCATAAAAACAGACAACACTCAACCACTACTTGGTAATTTATAAAAAAACATCATGAAATTAAAACACAGTAAAAAACAGTCACCGCTTTATAAATATAAACGTTTACGCCAACTCACAGAAGTTAAATCTGATATGCTGTGTACGTCTGGGCTAAGGTGTGTAGTTTGAGGGCTAGTTTCGTCTACCGACGCTCCTTGTTGCCTGAGCATGTTAACCCAGTTCGGACCAGACTTGTCAAAACCCTGGTATTGCATACATGTAGGATCGCCGAAACCTCCTTCATGTGTCCGATGATGATCTGCAACTACACCTTCGTCAAACTCCTCATCCATATCACCCAGTGGGGTTATCATTGAAAAAAGAGGGTCCACAAATTATACAGGCTAATTGAAGTAAATGTGTGAAATGTCGCTGTACAATATCACACTAAATTAATATGGACACGCATGAAATATGCCAAAAAATCACATATAGAGGTCTGTTGATGAATTACAACTGAACATACAAGTTTATTAATGTCATAAATCGTGCATGTTTTACCTGATATCAGAACGTTTTATGTATTATCACAAAAATATGCGAAGAACTTTTTATGTCACTAGATAATGCACAAATAGTGTTTACTTTCTTCAATTCCAAATAAAAACACACTAACTCCGCAGTTAACCAACCAAGTGAAGCGCACCCAAATCAAGAAATCGCATGTGAAGAGATATACATAAACAATATATTCGATAATATACCATTATGTTTCTAGTTATTTATAAAATAAATTACCATTCTAGTTCATGTTAACAGTAACTCGTTTGCTTTTCATCCGACTGGGATTTCAATATTCAATAGTCACCTGTTGACTTGCAGAGAGGACTAATAAGGAATTCTGTCATCCTTAACTAAGGATATGAAAAATATTTGACTGCGAATTCAACTTTTTCCTTAGAAGAACCATTTTTGCAACACTGCAGGTCCTCATTTTATATTGCGATGCTACATACTGCAAAAATTGTTCCAACTTGTAAACGAATCTACAGGACAGTGCCACCATTCTGAACTTTCTAGAACCATGGTCTTAGCTATCCAGTTGATTTTACATCTTTTTCAGAGTGTTTCAACAGACTTTTCAGAGAAGTGAAACTATGGGGTATTCAAGACGACAATCCGTTACATGACAGTGAACCTGTATGGGAGGCTTTCCCTAGCTAATAATTGTTCACTGACCCACATTTGACAATGAATACAACAGTTACGAACTTTGTAACTTGTAGGTAGAGGCGTCATGCAGCACTTTAGTCCTGTATCAGCCTAACCTACGCATCTGCAAACCAAAGGTCACTGGGACACAAATCATTCAAATGTGACTGTCACTTGTCAAGTAATGGAATAGTTATACAGCGATCTTCAAACCATCCACGCTTGCTAGTAGAACGAACTTTTATCGACATAAATAGGGAATCTAATGCTCACTAACAAGTCCACAAGTAATGTAGTCAGCGTCTATCCTAATTTCGAACAGTCGTTTTATTGATTTCAAGTAGCTAAGAAATCGCCTGTTAGATAACTGTTAAGTATTAAGCCATGTACTCTAAATGAGATTCAATTCCCCAGATAATAATAATATGACCGAATAAGTCAGGAAGTGGTCACTTGAACGACTCTACTGGAAGAAATTCGCTATATTAGCGGCGTATCCGCGCTATGATTTACACATTTTCTAACAAGGTTCCGCCACAAATGAACTTCAAAAGAACTTATCCAACATATCCGCTTTCTTGACGGTGCTAACAATATTAATCTTCTTCCTCTCGATAGGATCTAATGATAGCAGTATGTGAGAATACCTGTGCAATATGCAACACACGTATTTGTCAAGCAGTAGTTTCTTGATTGGTTTGTCACCGGGAGTTCCTGTTGCTTGTCATCTCTGAACATCCTATCTCCAGAAGGGAGCGAAAGAAGTTGTCAGGTAAAGTCTGAAGCCCGTTGGAAATGCCTTAGCTTTAAGAATCCGAATCTTGTTCCTCATGCTGATTGCAAAATAGTTCTACACAGATTTCAGCGTAATTATTGTTCATCTGAAGTTCCCGATCCAGCCTTCGACACCTTCATCCACGCCGCCTAAAGTCCAAAAGATGATGCCTAGGTAGATGAAAGGAATGGCTTCCCACTAATTTTCCTTTGAAAGTTCTTCCTTGCTGCTTCTTCCACTGACTTGTTGGTTTTTGCCCGTAGATCTTCAAGTTTGTGCCGGATTAAGCTTGAATCTTCCGCGAAGTCCAGATCTCTCGGAGCCTTCCCGCGTGACCAACACATGCCTGTCTTCATGATTGGCCACGGTCTGTAGGATGATCTACAATCAAGATTTCGTCAGTGATAATAGACAGACTTGTTGGAGGAAATGACTGATAATTTGACAAAGGCCTGGGATACGTAGGGCTTCTCGTAATGATAATAATAATAGCAACTTTGCCCCTAAATATGCTGCACACGATAGACGGCAGTGTACGTGCACTGACATGGCACTATAGTATAAAGTAACGTATTTATTCCAGTCTATGAGAGAACAAAACGCTGGTCCAGACGTGCATAAATTGTCGTTCAAATTGCATGAGTTTAATTTGGGTGGAATTTACGTGGTTGCTGCTCTGCTAAATAGCCAGTCCATTTATCTCACTAAGAAATACAGAAAAATAATAATAATAGTATATTCTCATTTTGTACATGAGAGACGCCAGTTTACAGGCATCATCAATATGATAAATTACATATACGATTAGCAATCATAATTAATAATAATGTTTTAATAAAATACACATTATTTCCTACTTGTGTAGGACACACCAAATATACAGGCATGGGTAAGCATTATTTAAATTTCATAAATTTGGTTTGTGGTTAAGTTACATGGTTGCTGGCGTTTTTGTCTTAGGTCTGTGGGAACAATATGATAACCAGTCATTCAATGGAGCACATCATGAAATATAGGAATATTAACTTCGCATTAACAAAAAACCCAAGTATGTTTTGGATGGATTAAAAATACTTGGGAAAAAATAAAGCTTGAAGTAATTCCTCAATATAACTTGGGTGTGTACAAATCCGAATCTTATTTTTGATTTGATTTATATCCAAATTGGGTAATAAGGAAGCTATTTTACAGATACGATCAGTTATGTTATAAGCTACAATCGTGACGTTGTATTACAAATAGATACTTTTCCATTGGTATAAGAGTATATTCCACAAATGTAAACCAGGTTGCGTCGTGGAGAAAGTTAATTCGTTATTAACCAGGCAACTGAAAGATACGGGACCAATAATGTTTGCAGATCATTTGTCATTGTAAATAGTCAAATATCCACATTATTCATTCTCATTCAAAAAGTCAAATAGAAGCTGAAATGGTGCAACACATTTTGGACAATCTGGTCACGCATGGACTTGTTATAGGAATACATATGAGATTAATACAGTTAAAAGTCTGATCACGAGGATGGTATTCAAATCCACCAAATTACTAAAATGTTGCAGTGTGCATTTAACTCACTTAAAAACTTCGGCAGAAAACAGTGAATGTTATGTGATCATAAAACATATTGCAATTTCTGCCCATTTGTGAACAATAATTCTCGCTTGTATCTATGCATTCCATTGACTTTCATCTATCAAAACAACACACAGAAGTGCGGGAGGATGCAGGAATTCGACACCAACCATATTCTTTGGTTCCCGCAGCAGTAATAGGTACTGCACAATAGCTGATAGGCAAATTTGAGATCGAGTAGAAGTTTCCGCCAATTCGGTATGCCAAAAATCACTGCATGACCCATGTATTTAAGCGTCCTGTCACACAAGCAATCAGTAAATGCTCAAGAACAATATCGAACAATAATTTTCATATAAATTCATCCAACAAGAGCAAAATAAGCAGCGAAATAGCGTCTACCGCGTTGTTGGACGACTAGCCACAACTCGAATCAACGAAACCGCACTTGCAGAAAATCTAAGTTTTACATTGGATAGTTCAAAAGTACTGGGGGAAAAATAAAGCTGTAAGCAAGTCCTTTGACATCAATTTGCTGCGTACTGGATTGTACCATATTCTTCATCATTTATAGTCAGATGGTGAATCAATCTAAAGTGAGTAGTGTATTTGTATCATTTTCCCATTAGCATCATCGCAGGAAAGCATCAGGAGCGAACTGTATCCGATGCAGAAAGTATCGGACGTAGCCATATGGGATTGTTTACCTGCATTAAATTGTTGATAGTCCGCTGGAGTCAACCATAACTGTTATTTATATGCACGAGTTGTAAGGCGCGGTATTTCAGGCGGCCTTCCTGTGTTTAAACTGCATGCTTGTTTAATTTCAGGTTGGCTGTGCGGCATGCAGGGACCGGTCCCCCAAGACGGAGCAAAAGACAACGAGTAGGAAAATTCTACCCTTCTCATTCAATTCCATTATGATCGCATGTTACAATATTTAGCCCTGAGCGTTTGTTCTTACTGGCAAGTGGAGCTTGTGTGATCACGTAATCTTTGCTGTCTGTTTCAGATCACTGCTTGGCGACTGTCATTACTGAGGTGATCGAGATGTGGGAACTCTCTAGAGATCAATTCGGGCATCAATAGCATGCTAAGAGTGAGGCCCAACTTTACCGCGTCTTAAATTTACCTAGCTAACGGTTTCGCGTCCTTGATTGGCTAAAACCGTAATGAACAACTAGATTTCGGATTTCCCGTAGGTAGGTACTATCGTGTATGCTGTCGTGTGGTTTTCGGCGTGCGTGATCTGCAAAGAGCCGTGATAAATATAAATTTAATATTTAAATACTCTGACAGTGTTTTACCTATTTTTAAAAGCTGCAAGTCTTTTTTCATAGAACGCTGGTTAGCCGTTTTAGTGATTATCAATGACTGAAATCCTGTGGTTCCCAGCGCATATCTTGAGTTGTGGCCATACGTAGAATATTTTCTCCGTCAAATTTCATCATATACGTAGTGTAATATTCCGTACTTCTTGTGAGCTGACTGTGACGAGATGTGACAATAATGAGTACCAATTAACAAAGCTTATTTCAGAAGTTCATTACAGGTAACCAGTTCGAGTGAAATCTGCAGAGATGTAAGAGGACATTTCCACTATTAGGAGGAAGATTGGAATTTATTGTAAGACTCTCAAAAGGTGGGAACCTCGTAAATTGCTAACATTGCGAACATTCATCGTATGCTTCATTCCCACTAAAAGGAAGAATCGGCGAATGAGAGATACTGCATTGTAGTGAGGCCGTTTCTTGGAACTCTTAGCTAGTGCGCAATTTCCTCCTTAATGATTTTTCCTCGAACCAATAACAA